GTGTGTGTGTGTGTGTGTGTGTGTGTGTGTGTGTGTTATAATGAAGGTTCTTCTGCAGTGGTGGTTCTTGGTAGAGGTTCAGTGCACTTGACCCAGTCTTTAGACTCCCTGCCATCTGATTTCCAGTGGCCCCATCTCACTCGAAAGTGCTGTCCCTTTTTCAGATGTTCTTTCCAGATACTGCACGTGCCTTCCTCCGATGCTTCCATGCCCTCTCCCATTTGTCACCTCTCTTCTCCATATGGCATCCGCAGAGTGATGGGCCACTGATTCTGTTTGTGCAGGAACTGGACTTTTCTATGACATGATCAGTGGTCTCATCAGGTAGTAACAATGCGTTTATGGCACTGCTAGAAAGCCATTCTCCAAAACCTAGGACAGAGCCATAACGTGAACTGAACCATGTGCTACACAGCCAGTACTATGTGTGCAATTTGTATACTGCTTCCTAGGGAGCCAGGGCAACAATCCTGCTCGTACAGCTCTAGGGACATGGATGTTAAAAGAAGTCTCTGAGCTGCACTAGTAGGTCCCTTACCTACACTCTGAGACATCTGATCTTAGAGACATGCATGTACACACTCTGGATATGTCTACACTGCTCTGAGTATAGTGTAATGAGGACATTTCTCTGTTTCCTGTAAGCTAGATAGCTTGGCTACTAGGACTTGTCTAGTTTTCAGCTTGCTGCAGGCTGAAAAAACATGCCGAGAACTAGAAGATAGGTGGATGGTTAGTTCAGACCAAGCTCCTTACTCCTACATAGGTGGACTGCATTGGGAACCCAAGCTTGCTAGTACATCTATTTGGTACATTTGGCTTTGGTACATCTATACACTGTAGCAGATGCTGCACTTTACACACAACCTCTGCTTCACACACTAGGGACAAACAATTACACTGCTTTAAAGGGAGCAGGGCTTACCACTTGGAAGCACATACCATCTGATCTGTAGTTTGGTCTGATTCTGTAATAAGTAAAACTAAGCTATAGTAACTTTTTTGTTCAGGGCAAACTGGTTTCAGCTGAACTTCAGTGAGTCCTCTTCCCCTGCCCCCTTTTACAGTGGTATAATTGTTTCATCTGTCCACATCCTATGACATTAGATTTCTAGGGGTATGTGCATATGGATTCTCCCACAATCTAGATCTCCCTCATGCTCTCTCAAGACTCTTCCTCACAACCCTGTCTTAGGAAATGTTTCTTCTTGCAGGGCCTCTCAGTTGTGGATCAAGAGAAGATAGACAACCTTATGATAGAGATGGATGGAACAGAGAACAAATGTAATTCTGTTTTCCTTTGGTATTAGAAATAGAATAGCACAGGAGTAGGGGGTGGGATGCTACAGGGCAAGAGTGAGGGTCCTGACAGGGCTGTGTGGGAAACCCAGGGATAGAATAGCAGGGGGGGCTGTGGGGCAGGAGTGAGGGGCACTGGCATAGCTGTGTGGGGAGCCCAGGGCTGGAATAGAAAGGGGGGCTGTAGGGCAGGAGTGAAG